ACCACATGATGTGCTGTTTTTCTTGTTTGTTTAACCATTGCAGACACCCATGCATAAATGCTATATGTTAATATACTGATATAATATTCAGTTTAAAATTAGAATAACACTACTGCTATATACCCATATAGGTCCAAAAGTATTTTGTATACAGCTTGTATTATATCTATAGAAAAACACTGACCAATAGAATGAGACTTGTGGAACAACCACACATGAGCCTAAGGTCATTATTCCCAAGTTTTGACTACAATGGTATAAAGCCCCCCTTCCTTGAGCTGTGGAGCAGTGGAACTCAAGTACATCAATGATGTGCTTAAAAGTATCTGTAGAATAGTAAAAGTACATTTTCATTTTATGTATTTTTTGGAAATAAAAATTTGTATTTTTCAAAAAGTAGATTTAAGTAAGGAAATATGCTGTAAAGAGATACTTTTGAATGAATAAATTTCCTAATATACTTAAAGCAAAAGCATATTTAATTGTCATAATTGTCTTAAGTGTATAATTTAGTAAGTATTTTATAGCAATAACTTTAAAAGTGTGCTGTAGTACAGTTTATTTTCTTTTTAGCTGCAAATATGGCTGTCGATGCATCCAAGAATGTAGTAGAATTAGTTTCTTAACAGTTAATTTTATTGTAACATAAGTTGTTCCAGTTTAGAACAGAAAAACACTTGTATGCAAAAAAGATGGATTTCAACATTAATATGTGTATATAAGTTGTGTTTAGTTATTTTAAAGTAATATATTTAAGTGTATACACAGTAAGAGTGGAACTCAGTAAGTAGCACTAAAGTGTATCAATATATCTAGTAGTATATTTGTGCTATATTCAAGCTGTCTACAAATTTCTGTGGAAAAAAACCCCAAAAAACAGAAAATGTACTGACAAAAAAAAATGACCCGTACATTTTCCAGAAAATAACCGACAATGCCATCATTCAATGGAAAATTCTGTTAAACTACAGTACATATTCTATGTATTGGCAGGACTATTTTTACAGTTTATAATTAAACATTTCCTTCAACTTAAAAAAGAAAAATCTCCACTAGAACCCAACTCATATATTGGTTGGCTGGTATCAGCCATTACTGACAACCCTCTAGATCTTGCGATATCCACAAAGATATTGTTGATAATATTCCAATAATCAGTGACTTTGTTGGGGCTGTGGCATCAGCAGGATTCAAACATATGATATCCTGACAATATAACAAAACCTTTCAAGTTTGCCTACTGTTTGCTTAGTTAGCAACTGCTAAGCTTACCTGTTTACTTTTATCACTACAAGACAAGTGCACAGGTAATCTGAACACAAAACACTATCATAGTGAACAAAACAAAAACATGTTAAGTGCATCCAGATCTATTCTTTAGCAACACAAAAAAATGATGGAAAATAAGAAAATAAGAGCTAATTAAGAGAAACTACAACCTCAAAGAATTCTGGGCAACCCTGTCCTCAGTAATATATTATAAACAGAGTACCTGAGGAAAAATCTCTGTCATTACAAATGAAAGATAAAATAGATTCATTACAATAAAAAAATTCTTCATTTTCTTATTTCAGCATTTGCTCCTATATATCTACCATGTTTTATGAAACATTCTTCTCCTTTGTCAGGAAATATTCAGTGTTTATCAATGAGGCTAACTGCTAGCTGGCTTTCATACAATTGCACCTCTTTCATGCCTAATTTATGGGCGAAGCATTAACATTTCTGGAAAATTATGGCGCATGTTAATTTTTTAAGGTAGTTAATATCGCTGTAAAAAGTCACAGGAAAAGAATCTAAAAAATATGGCTATGCTAGCTTGTTCTCTAACTTAACAGCTATAATTATTCTAACTTCAGGTAATGTTCAGAGCTTGTACAAAATACTTACTTAAATCCACTAGTGTGTAACTTAAATTGTCAAGCATACAAAAATGCTTATACAAAAAATACATATTCAATACAGCTTAATTACTATTTCAATACACTTGCGTTGTCCTAAGTTGTTCCACAATAATTAATTTACTATAATGTATCTACTTTAAAAATATGTACTTTTTTGATTTGGCATAGCTTTCATGATCCAGAACTAATTATCTAACAACAGTACCTTACCTCACTAATGCTCTTGGGACTGAATGCGACCAGATCCTCTCAGCAATGTTCCAACAGCCAGTGTAAAGCCTTCCCAGAAGAGTAGAGGCTGTTACTGCAGCAAAAGGGGGATAAACTGCCTATTAATACCCTTGAATTCTGGAGAAATGCTGGATGAGCAAGTGTCAACAAACCTTTGGGCACATTTATCACTGTAGATTTTTACTGTGAAATGAAACAGCCAGCTTGTGAAAGTAGGCACAGTGGTTAAAAAAGGAGTGAAAAAAGTAGTGAAAAAAAAGTACTCACGTGAAGGTGACAGTACCATGGCCTGTCCTTTAAAGCTCCTAAACACTCCTAAAGTCAGTAGCTTGTGTAAATCCATTAGCTGGATGTTCACCACCATGTTCGCAAAGCCACGTTTACCCAACATAAGTAATGTGCCCAGAGCACAGTGGTAAAGCGAGTGTATGATGTAAGTCCTGTGAAAATGATAGTAAGCAGTCCCAAAGTGCCAGAATGGGACGATGAAATACTGAGTCATGTCATATTGTTGTAAGTGGAAGGCTCTATCTTATAGAGGGGAATAATGAAGTGGGTGTGTACAGTAGGGCTCAGTAATTGCCATCTGGCATGCACAATATGATACTCACCCTGAGACATGTGTCACAATTTGATTTTGTGATTGTATCACAGTCATGATAGTTGACATTGAAAGAAAATTGAGAGATAACAGTAGGAATTGCTGGCTGTATGTTCACCATGCCAAATGTGCAGGCAGCTACAGAAGCTCTAGATCTTTTTGTAGCTACAGGGGTATGTAAATCCCACCCCCAGATTCCTCTAGTCTATGCTCTCTTATCTTTGGAAGTACAACTGATAACACAAACCAAACAAGCTAGCTAGTGAAATTCTATCATTAGCTAACAGAACTGTGTTTCACTTGTGTTTCAGAAGGAATGTTTATTTTCACCACATATAATGCGACACACGTTTACATGCTTAAATGGATTTTTTGGGGGAGACTTGCCGACTTGCGTCACGCCCATAGGTTAACGACAGGCGTGTTATGTGTTGGACAGTGTTGACAAGCACACCTTCTTTGAACTCTACCTACAAGGGGTGTTGGATTTGTTAAGAAATATTACAGAATGTTCTCATCCTAATAAATCTATGACGTCACCCACGTTAGCCCGAAACCTCTCATGGTTGATGGCTCTGCAAGATTACATCCAATGCAAAACTGAACTATAGCAATGGACATAAATACATAGATATTTGAATAAATACCAGTGGAAGGGTGCAAAGTATTGATGCAAAATCCTTAAAATCATGACAACCTTTTTGTCTTAAATACAGATGATACCGTTTGTAGAAAGTGCATGAAAATGTATTAAGAGGAAAAGAGGAAAAGAGAACAAAACCTGGCTCTTTCAATGTTTAAAAAACATCAATGAATTAGTTCATAAAGTGAGAGGGATAGACATTTTCTAAAAATTAAACTAACAGCACCATATAAAAATGAAAAAATGAAACTGCCATTAACTAGCAATATAACACACAGCAAAATTTTATTTATTAAAATATTGTGTTCGATAAATAACAAATGATTTGAAACCCAAGCGTCATCTCAGCCATTTTTTGACAAGTAAAATCAGCAAGAGCTTTCCTTTCTGAACGTGCAGACATAAACACCTCCAATAACATTCTTCAAGCCCTGATAATCAAGAGCAGATCTATTTTCATAGACTTCACAGTGCACAGTATTTTATGTTGCTTTTAAGAACTACTAATGCTATTCTTATACATTCCTATTACAATTTGTGCAGATTATTGTTTTCCAAGTATGAACTTGAAAGCACTCCTACTCACACAACTGTACACTTTTAGAAAATAAACGTATGAAAGAATATGAAATGTAGTGTATTCACTGTATTTTTAAGAATAAATTAGAGCTGAGATGCTACTGCGGTCCCCCGTGTGCTTGATGACATCACATATGCAACAGAGGAATGTAGTATATTGTCCCTGTCCAAATAAAAACCAGTATCTCCATAATAGTAACTTTACAGGAGAAGGCAAAAACACTCTTACCTTTCAATGTAGGTTAATGTAAAGAGATTTTATTCCAAATGATTTTAAAGCATTTCTATTGGTCCATTCATCATGAATTTTTCACGCGACGTGAGGGACAGCTGGTTTGTTGAAATGATGTAGAAAAATAAAAACCGACAAAACTTGAGATACATGGTTTTCTTTGGACAGCGACGATATGTGTTTCCTGCCAAAGCTGTAACTATGACAATAAGCCAAGAATCAATTGATTTACTGATAACTAGTATCAACACACTTAAAAATATAGAAATAAATATTGATGTAAGGGTCGATGCAAATTCGTGAAAAATAGAATTGCAATTCAATGTTTAACCGAAATATCAGCACAGCTACAGTAATGTAATAGGACTGTAGTGTATATGGCTCCTGCCAATGCTGTTACTATCACAATAAGCCGACAGACAGTTTTATGTATAAGTGAGTGATGAATGGGTTGCAGGTGTTCGCTGAAAACACCCATATGGCTTGACAAAGATGCTAATAAGACGTTCAGTTGGATTTCTGACTCAGGTTTCCATTGAAGTGTTTTCAAAGTCAAAGCATTTGGGGGGTTATAGAGAAATCACTAACCACACTATGTTCTTTCCTACATGCTCATTCTCCCTCTCTCTATCTTTACCTTACTCTCTCTCCATCTTCTCTTATCTCCAACTTCGTCTTCATCTGTCTTCTGTTTATCGCCACTTTTCCTATCTCTCTCTGGCTATCTTCTTTCTGCATCTCTCTATTCTTTCTCTCCTATATCTATAGTGTTTATCTTCCCCCTCATTCCTCTCTGTGCTCTACCCACAGTGGGATGCCATCACAGAGATGGACGAGCAGAACCGGCCCATCCACACCTTCCAGGTGTGCCACGTAATGGAGCCCAACCAGAACAACTGGCTGCGCTCCAACTGGATCCCTCGGCAGGCGGCGCAGAAGGTCTACGTGGAGCTGCGCTTCACGCTGCGCGACTGCAACAGCATCCCCTGGGTGTCGGGCACGTGCAAAGAGACCTTTAACCTCCTCTACCTGGAGTCGGACGAGCCGCACGGGCCTGGTGCCCGATTCCACGCTGCTGACTACGCCAAGATTGACACCATCGCGGCTGATGAGAGCTTCACGCAGACAGACCTTGGCGATCGTGTGTTAAGGCTGAACACTGAGGTGCGGGAAGTGGGTCCAATTGCCCGAAAAGGCTTCTACCTGGCCTTCCAGGATGTGGGTGCGTGCATCGCTTTGGTGTCCGTTCGTGTCTACTACAAGAAGTGCCCATCCACGCTGCGGAACCTGGCAGCCTTTCCAGACACAGTACCACGCATGGACTCGTCCTCGTTGGTGGAGGTGAGGGGTGCATGCGTGGAGAATGCCGAAGAGCGTGACACGCCCAAGCTGTACTGCGGCGCAGACGGAGACTGGCTGGTGCCACTGGGGAGGTGTGTCTGCAGCATCGGCCATGAGGAGAATGATGGCCTGTGTCTGGGTGAGCACGTAACTGGTTTTCTGTTGTCTTAATAGAGAATTTTACAAAAACATCTGCAAAACAAAGTCATTCAGAGCAGTTTGATGTGAAAAGATTTACTGTAAAATTTTATTGACTCATCTTCTAAGTTTTTTTACGTAATGCTGAATATAGTATAAAAGTACTGTAATCTACATAGTACAAAAATGTCTTCTAAGTTTTTATACCTAGTATTGACCATGTTGAAATTGTGGCAAATCAAAAACAACAAAAAAAAATATTCTTTACCACTGTAAAACATTGTCAGGCAACATATTCATAACCATTTCATACTATTAACTTTCTGTGAGGCAGCTTTTAGACACGTTAAACACTTTGGGCATCTGGTTCCAATCACTAACACTGTTGGCAATTCAGTTGTTTCTTACCACTGTAGAACAGCACATTTCACATCAGTCCACTCTGAATGATATTGTTTACATCTTAATGATTCAATTATAAAGAACTTTTAATAAATTGATGGAATTGTCTCTTAAGGAGCCTTTACATGCTGAATGTCACCTATTCATGCAAGATTAGAAAAGTTTCAATGTAATATTTTTTGTAATTAAAAAAAAAAAACACCTGGTTTGAATATATATATATATATATATATATATATATATATATATATATATATATATATATATATATATGCAAAGTCTGCAAAGTATTTACAATATTTTTTATTAAGTTAAAAATGTGTATTATAACTTTACTCATGGTGCTATAGTTTTTTATCATCATCATTTTAGCATTTCAGTGTTATCTACAGCTGTTCATCATTCTGATTTTGCGTGTTTTGCCCTGTTCAGTTTTTGCGAACTTTCGCAGCTGACCTGAACTCAGTGAACCAACCATTTTTCTCTGCTGTTGGCATGGTAACAACAGCCAAGATGGTGGATCACATTTTTGTCTTTGTGACTATACTTTTTGACCAACATCAAAAGCAACATCCGAGACTATATGGGAAAACATAAAGCGCATAGCATGCATAGCTTTGGCGTGGATGATTGCTTATGAATATTTCAGGTTTTTGTATTGTTTATTCGTGTTGCGTCAGGTGTGTAAAGGCCTTTACCCCTCTCTCTTGCTCCGTTTCCCTTTTTCTTCCCACTTGCTTTATGCATAACCTAGGAAAGGCTCCATTAGCTGGAGAAAGCCGAGTCCCTGTCTCGGGCGACTTGACAGCAGATCAAAGGAGACTGGAGAATTATGCTGCAATCCAGCGCTACAGCCCAGTTCCTCTGTACGGATAAGGACAGCAGTTATTAAGACATCAGTGGCTGTGGCCTGGTTTCACGCCGCCTCAGCCCGTGGGGAAGCCTCTCTGTACATGTGACAGAATACGAGATGGCACTGGGAATAACCAGCCATCATTACGGCTTCCTCATCATCATAACAGAGCATTTCTGTGATTATGAAAGCGCTTTAGAGATCCTGCAGCATAAGAGAAGCATTTTTGCTTTCTTTTTGCCACTCTAGGTGTCATAGCCTGTCTCTCTCACTTTATCGGTCTCTCTCACTTCGTCTCTCTCTCTTTGTTGTTGTTGTGGACTAGGGCTTGAGCGATATATCAAGTGGCCAACAATAGATGGCTGATGGTCCCTTGAACTTATCCTTGTCAGAGAAATTCCCACCAATAAAGCAGGGATCATTATTGGCTTTTCTAAAATCAACAACCTGTTGACTTAAAGGGGAATTCCACCATGTTTCTGCATTATTAAATCAATATGTTAACAAAACAATTCAGAGTGGTTTGATGTGACATAGTTCACTGTAGAGAAACTTACTGACTTGCATTTCTATACAGTGGTGGTGATAGGACCCAGGGGTCATGATGCCTATCGTGTAGCACACTGGTCATAGACCCAGTAAAATGTTCTAGCAGAAACATAAAGCTAAGTAATATATGTTAATAAAGGCATAATTTCAGAGGCATATATCTTTTTTAGCGGTCCTGTGTTACAGTTTATCCAGTAAAATTCTTACCTGAAGGCAAATCATAGGAACAGAGCGAGTGAGTAATTTCACATATTTTAATAGATGTTTTATTTTAATTACTGTTTCTGCTCTGAAAAGTGAAAGTTGATGATAAAAACAGTGTCTAAAAGAAGAAGTGTTTTTCAAGTTCAAAACTGATGTGTATCATCTCTTCGGAGAGGCACTCGTCAATCGGGCCCTGCTGTGGATTGATATATCTCCTCTCTCCATTACCTTTGAGATGTGAGCTAGATGAAGTATCCACTTAACCATAGATTTTTACAGATATGATTCAGAGTTACAGACAGGAGTCTATGGATAATGCCATACTCATGGCATCAGATGGGATGGCCCCTTCACTTTCTTTCTTCACCTCTACTTATTTCTCTTTACTCTTCTCCACCATCCCTATCTTTTCCTCTGCCACTGCTGTGCCACTATCTGCAGCGCAGATCACTCCTGCGATTAGGACTGCATTCGTGCCTGCACCTGTCAAAGTCCTCGTCAAAAAGCCCTGGCATCGGGGAGGGCTCCTGCTGCAAAGTGAATGCTTAAGCAGCTCTCCGCCGCCCTTTAGAGACCAGCCTTACACTCAGCCTTTCTCTCTTAGGCTATCTCTGCCTCTCTTTTTTCTCTTTACATATCTGTGTATGTTTATTATCATTATTTTCATGATTTCTGTGGTTAAAATTTGATTTGAAGAACCCCTGAGTGATGCAGCCATCAAAGCATCGACCCTATTGTTGGGAGAACACAAGTTCAAACTGCAGTAATGCTACAGCCGTCCGTGGCTGGGAGTCTAAGAGAGCACAGTTGTCCTTGCTGTCTTTGTGTGGGTAGAATGACCCTCCTCCTCCTACATCAATCAGAATGATGCTAGCCACTGTAACAGAAATGGTAGGTAGTGTTCTCCTTCAAGCATACTGAGCTGCCCAATGACAGCAGCAGTTCAGAAAAATGTCTTCACTTGACATGGAGGTTGCTAGATTAGTGTGAGAGAGGGAGGCCTAAAAGCAGTTTACTTTTTACTTCTTACATTGTGGAGCAATGACTTTACTGGGGAGACACCTGGGTAAAAATGGATTTGATTTTCAATGACAAATTGCAGACGCAGAATTATAATAATATAGTATTATATTATATAATAATATAAATATAATTATATAGAGATTTTTTCAAAACGGCCCTCTGCCTTGTCATGCCTACTGCATGTCACTTTGCAAGAGATGCTGCAAATGAAATCTTGGCTAAATTCTGTCTCAGACTGTACGACATCAGTAAGGCTCATGTGTGCTAACAATCAGACATGACATATGGTAAAGATTTTCTGCCAATAAGCCTGTGATGCAGGAAAACTCTGCTTGCGCCCAAAATAAGTCCTTTGCATTGTGATGGCATTGTTTTGCCTGGATAAAAAAGGGCAAATAATTACATAGAGAAGAAGAAGAATTTGGAGCCTTAAATGGCTGGGGAGAATGGCCAGTGTGGAATGCCCATTCTCCAAAGTGAGTTTGAGGTCAGTAGGCCAGTTTTTTATTCATTACGCAGTAGTCTGATATGGCAATTTTAGGCAGGTGACTCTGTACATAAACTGAAGACTGAGGCAGGCTCATGTGTGTAAGCTAGCATATAAAGTGAGCAATAAACATTTTGCAAATTCCCTAGCAGTGATCACATGGCCGTCTGTCGTAGCAGTGGTCACATGGGCGTCTGTCGTAGCAGTGGTCACATGGGCGTCTGTCGTAGCAGTGATCACATGGGCGTCTGTCGTAGCAGTGATCACATGGGCGTCTGTCGTAGCAGTGGTCACATGGGCGTCTGTCGTAGCAGTGATCACATGGGCGTCTGTCGTAGCAGTGATCACATGGGCGTCTGTCGTAGCAGTGGTCACATGGGCGTCTGTCATAGCAGTGGTCAAATGGGCGTCTGTCGTAGCAGTGATCACATGGGCGTCTGTCGTAGCAGTGGTCACATGGGTGTTTGTTATAGCAGTGGTCACACTGAGATTTTGGTCAAACATTTCGGACACTGCCTAAACTTTGTCATTAAATCACCATTTGTAGAACACGTCACTTAAACGCTCAAAGACTTGTGATGTGTCCAGATGTGTGAGGGGTGGGTAGTCATATTAGGATTTTGTGATTAAAAATATATTTTTTTTAATTTTAGAGCAGAAACATCTTTCTGCATTTAAGGAAATTATGTTTATGGTATTTAGTTTATGGTATTAAGTAAATGGCATTTACAAATAAGATTTCTCATGCAATGTGTAATAAATACCATTAAAAACTGTCTCCACTTCTTGTTATTTTGGCTTCATTGAAGTGCCTTGGTTGTAAAGGCCTGCAAAACAAAGCTACAGATAAGACATTTCTTTTATTTAGTAGTAATTTGTATTTAAATGTGATATGTATTCAGTTAAACAACTAAATTACATTTTACATTAGTGGGTCGTGTTTCAAAGTGTAGTCTTTCATTTCAGCCACACAAGTCTTTTCCCATTTATTGCGAGTACATTTATTAAAAGCACGCACAAACAAGCGTCAAGGAAACTTTCTGCTCTGCAGGCTGCGTCACACCTCTTCTGGTAGAATTAAAAGTTGAGCAGTTGGAAGCTAAACACTCACAGAGAATCAAAATGAGGTACTGAAAGTATAAATAAAACCTCTTTCTCCTGGATGCCATGAAAAAAAAGCAATGAACAATACCCAACTATGCAGGATTGACAACCTAAGAACCAGTCAATTATCCAAAGGAGGAGGAAGGGGCACCTCCCCCCCCCAACATGCCACAATCAAAAAGCACTGATCACCGCTCTCATGATCAAAGAATTCCTGTCTGTCTATCTGTATACATATATATTTAAATTATACCTTCCAGCATCTCTCGCTCTCTCTCCTCCCCCTCACTGCCCCCTGCTGCCATTCTGCAGAGGGGAGCCTGCTCCTTTATGCTGCACTTCACATCTCTCATGCTGTGGCCAGCCTGTGTTTCATACC